CAGTACTTTACTACCGAAAGGATCAAGGATAGTGAATGGCCGAATTTATACTAGAGACGAGTTATCCATCTAGACGGACTATCCGTCAGGCGGATAATTCATCTAGGTATAAATTCGAAGACGAATTTTGCTCCATAAATTGGCTAGATATTTTAAACGGGAAACGACCGCGGGAAACAGGAAACACTGCGAAAATATTGAAACCAGTCCCTCTCATGTGGAAACTTTGTCAAAAAACCGTCTAGTTAGACGTTCCGTCTAGATAAAAAATTTAGAGACTGATAATCCGTCTAAGACAAATTATCCGTCTATTAGCACGTCTTCAGTCCCTCTCATGTGGGAACGTCGTCAAAAAACCGTCAAAGTCACAGTCAAAGTTTTGCTGGCAATCATTTTGACATCTGTCTTAAGGACGGTGCCCACTAATGGGAAGTATTTTTTCCCAGACAATGACAATGTGAGACAAGTAAATCATATCAGGGGCTATTGAAATCCAAAAAGAAAACTGGAGGTAACCATGCATTTTTTCAAAGATAACTGCGCTTCAATATGGATATAAACGCTGAAAAGGCGTTTTTTAGAAAAATGATAAAAAGTTATTTTTTCCCAAAATTTCAGAGTGTACACGTGAACTGGCACAAATGCAATGATAATTGTAACAAGGTTTCAAAATAAGCAACAAATGATATCATAACAACTGCTCTTTATACGTCTTTTTTTAAAATATCAGCTCAACTGGGAAGTTATCAGCAGCTACCCCTCTCCACGCGTTTGCGTCAATAATAGTGAAAACGACATTTTCCCCGAACCAAAAATTGATCGTTTGCTGAGTAGGCTTATTACTTTCATTTAGTAAGATGAAAGGTAGGGGTTGCCTCGCGTTTTTAGAAGTTAAATTGGTTGGTTTCAACCTTAACTTAATCGTTTTGGGGGTTATTTACAATTTTCCCCATCCCCTCCCTGGTCAGTTTCACTATTGCTTCACTCAACGCTGAGTACTCTGGGATATCCACAATGGCGAACAGTCAGAGAAAACAACAACACACGGAGGAGAGCAAAAATAGAAAGTGAAGCACGACATTTCATGGACTCTAAGGAAAACAAATTATACTATTTCATTCAACTGGACCTTCTTCGTCTCAAACATTTAACAAAAAGTTTTGGAGAAGAGCAATCTCCAAGGTATTAGAGATTACTTGCAGCGCACGTACAGTAGTATGGCGAGCTCAAGATCCACGGCTGGTGCTGAAAACAAACTACTGTACTGTAGTGGAAAATAGTCGACAGGAACTCTAAGACAGGTACTCCTTTAATCGTTTGCTTACCTGTACGTGTCCTCAAGATTTTTTGAACTGCAGAGGTAATATGCATTGTAAACCTTCTATCGTTTTTTATCATTTTACCGGGTACCTCGATCGAATATGTTATTAAACTTGCATACATTCAATGAGCTTATATCTGTGCTTTGCACTATATATCTCTTTCGGGCTTTGCCACAAGTGTCATATGACATAAATGATTTGCATAGACTCAAGTTCCATACATGAGCTCTCTTTTAAAAAAGCTGAATAGTGTGAAAGTAGTTGTACTGGGCTGCAATGATCATTTTATATATTTCATTTTGATTTTTTTACTGTAGCATTCTGTGTCATGATCATTCACTATTTAATTTTGTTTGTGTGTCCGTTAAACCTAAGAACGTCTTAGAATGGAAGTACTGTATTTTACCTTCCATCTTCAGTTTGTAAACAGCCAAATGGCAGCAATTTCTAAATGTCCAGATTATGTGTGGCGTGAAAATGAACCTTAAGAAATACTATCTACACGACAAGCTGCCAATGAAGTCTATAATTTCAATGCTTAGTAATGCCAAAATGCTTAAATAACAATGATAATAGTAAAAAGCATGACAATTTTTTACGATTTTTTCCACGATAAAAGCGTTTCCTTTGCGGTCCGCAACTATTTGTGAAGCTGCGATCTCAGCAATCCAAGCAATCTTGTGATAGTTTTTTCTTGTTTGTTCAACAAATAAAAGCCTTGGACTCTCAATAACAGGGACATCTGTATGTACTCGAACGCTTTACATCTATCTTCTGGTGAATGATTACATAACATCTTACAAAATTAAATAAATAGTCAGGTCTCTTAGTGCAAAATATAGGCCGGATCGTTACAGACATGACAAAAGTGTCAAATTTGGCACAGAGCTTCCTTAGCACCTGCCGATTAATACTGGAGGGGGTACCCGTTACAAATGGTCCTAATTACAGATAAAAGGGGGGGTTAACTTTCACCTATAATAGCAGGTTGGGTGCCCTGTGGTGAGTACTCTTTTTGTTTGATTTGGCTAAAAAACATATGTTTCAAATTTTTAAGTTTTTAATTTAGTAATGTTTAGTTGTTGTTACACTATTCAAAATAGTTTTACATGTACATAATACTGACTAGTGCCCAGTCTCCACACGGTAAGTGTGGTCAATCATGTTCACTGTACGGCTATCAGTGGGCGCTTTCCATTTAGTCAAAATTTCCGGAATTTCCGGTTCGGCGGTAAATGGAACACGTTTCGTCGCTTCGTCCCACTGGAAAATTCCCAGAAAAAGTGGAAAATCTAAAAAGGTGGTCCCGTCTTCCCGGTTGGAATTTCCGAACGGAATGTCGTGTTCCATTGACGTTTCTTGTAGTTTGTACCAGTTCCAGGTCCACGGTCGGGCACCCGGCCACGTACCGGGGTTTACGACCAAATGGAACAACTTTTTACCAATCGGAAATTCCACTTTTTCTACCACCGAAATTTCCGGGTTTTTTTCGTAAATGGAAAGCGCCCAGTGTCACTGCTAAGACTTGCCAGTGATAATATAATTACATATCAATTTAGACAGATCACAAAGCCAGCTTTCAAAGATGTTATACAATAACAAAAAACCCAAATGTATCACATCCTAGACGATAGAATCGTTAAATTTTGACATGCCACACGACGGACCTCATGAACCGTAACTGACAACGCGCCCACGTTGTAATTGTGCAGCTAAGATTAGATTATAATTTGCTTCGTTGGTAATCCTGTCCTTGAGATAATGATTAAAACATGTCAACCTCGTCCTCAGGGGAAAAAGGAGGAGCAAGGGTGGCACAGTTGGTTAGTACTTAGCCTTCAGTGCGCGAGATCCCGAGTTCGATCCCCGGTGTCAACACATCCATATTTCAACTTCTCTCCTTTCTGTGTAGCTTTGACTAGCTTTAAATACCCTTAAAAAGGAGCATTAATGGAGAGAGGGGGTAAAAGGAGCGCACCGTCGACCTCAAGTTTATCAGTTATTATTACTGTCACGAGTTATTGACGTACAATATGGTCGCTTTACCTTTTTCTACCTTTTTATTAAGCCCTGGGGGCGAGGTTGTAAAACATGCCTCTCCAGGAATTTTTAACACTCTTTATTTTTTACACATTTTCATTTAAAAAGAAGTGTATGAGGTCCCTGCATGCCTAGACACCTGTAAGGAGCTCATTTACTTCAGAGCCCTCGCACCAGAGTGTTAATGGTAGGTCTATACGATCTTTCAAAAAAGGGAAGGTCGTCGCTTGCGTTACAGTTTACAAACAAACTAAATTCAGAAGAGCTGAAAGTTACATGAACAAGGCCTCTTTTAGCCAACCAATGATGTATCATTTATGAAAATGAATGTAATTTGTTTGATGCAGTTAGGCGAATACCCCGTGGTTACGAAATCTTACTATCATGAATTCCTCAAGAGCAATTCAGTTACCTACCGGTACTTTTCACAAAATAATGCTGTGTAAAATTACAGAAAATACCAAAAAAGGCAAGGGTCAACAATAATTATGGCCTGGTCCCTTATAATAATGGAGTGGTCATGATAAAGAAGCCCATCAGCCCCAACTTTGACCACTAAAACAGATTTCTGACAGATTACATACCGCAAAACTTTACATTCACTCATGCCTATGTTGCCACACTAGGAGCCTAGAAATCGGCTCCTGGTCACACCTTATTTTTATTGCTGAATATCATTCTAAAGAGCTTTACGAAATGTTTTGTTAGTAGGGGTGTTTTGAATATGATTGAAATTTAGAGATGGTGACAAAAACGAAGACAAAAAAAGTTACAAAACGAGACGCATGAAACAACCGCAATCTAGTATTCGTGTTACACCGATTTTATGGCTCCTTTGGCTGCTATGCTGACGTTTTTGAAGATGGAAGTAGTATCACAGCTAGTCCCGGGTTAGGTATACTGTTTATTACCAGTTTCACAGTTTTTGAGACTTAAAGCCTGTTCACATAAAGGTTGGGGACCCCGGGTAGGTGAGGTAACCTGCTTAGGTGGGGTAAAAAAAAATAACCTTCCTTTACATGCAATCTTACAACCCCGCCATCCTGGGGTGCACTTTCTCAACATTATTGAATGGTCGCTAAGCACGTAAACAAGAAAAATGCTAGCAAACCACGTCTACGCTCACTTGCTGCTCTTGCTGCAATCTTCAGTGTTGGGGCTTTCTATCGTTACCTTTAATAACTATGTGAAGCCACCCGGCGCCAAAGTGAATTTTGCGTGAATTTGATGTATCACGAATCCGACCCCGACTAGCCTGGGTTACCTCACCTTGAAACGTTGACATGGCAAAATTTAACCTCAGCTGAGAGGGTGACCCGGTGTTGCAGACCGAGCTAACCACCTTAAAGGGTCACCCCACCTTTCATGTAAACGTGATCAAATTAAAATGAGAGATCATATGGACATGCGGGTTAATATCCCACCTAGGTTAGTTACCATGACTACCTGGGGTCCCCCTCCTCCATGTAAACGTAACTTAACTTAACTTACTTTATTAATACATATCACACACTGGGGGGACTGGGAAGAGCATGATGGCCGACAGTCGCAAAAAAATCTCTCTCTGATTCCTTCATTCGGAAAGGGACAGACGCCGCTATATAAATACCCTCTGATCATATAATCATCTTTAAAACAATGTCTAAACGGAATCAACGTGAAACACGTTCTTCGAGTTCATCTTCTTCACAGTATCAACCATCGCCGAAACGCTTGCTCCGCGATGGGACTCCAGGTAAGGACGACCATCACGTCTCACTCGGCAACATTATGGATAAGTTGTGTAACTTGGAATCTCGAATGGAAGACCTCTTCGGCAGTCTAAAATCCGAGTTATCATGTCTTAGACATGAACTCAACGAAGAAATTGAGAAAGTAAAATCGACAGTAAATGATATGGAAACATCATTGAACGCGGCGTGGGACACAATCAAAGATCTCCAAGATGAACTAAAAATACACGCAGAATTCCGAAAGAAACATAAAGAAAGTTTGGAAAAACACCTCGAGGACAATGGTGTTTCACAAAGCGCTAAAGCAAAAATTGCTCTGCAGGAGAGTCAAATCAGCCTTTTAAATACGAAGCTATCCGAGGAACAGGAAAAAATCATCGCACTGGAAAACTACTCTCGCCGAGAGAATCTCCGATTTATGAATATACCGGAGCAAGAACACGAGAACTGCACTGACACCGTTTATGATATCGTCGAGAACGGGTTGAACATAAACACACAGAATATATACTTTCATGCTGTCCACAGAGTCGGTAAGCCACGTTCGCCTGAGGACTCCCATCACCATCCCCGACCCATCATTGCGCGTTTTCTCTGCAGGGAAGATAGGGACCGTGTTTTTAAAGCGAAAGGAAGATTGAGACACTCGACGGATTATCCAGACGCGTATATAACTAAAGACTATGCAAAGGCGATACAGCTTGAAAGAAAGGAACTAATTGAAGCGATGTTCATAGCGCGGAAGAAAGGCATGAGCGCGAAAGTAGTGGACAGAAATCTAGTAATAAATGATAACGTTTATCATGTTGGTAACATACCCGACGAACTTAAACCTGCAGCTGAATCTACACGCTCGTAGAAGTTTTCTTTACTCAGGTCAGTGTAATTCGATTTTTCTCAGTTGCCTTTGCATTAATTGCTATTGCAACCTTTAAGACCGAGACTAGTACTCCACGTTTGCTTCGCCGTTTGCACACAACGGATTCTTTCCTTTTTGTATATTGTTCTAAAGTTAAACTATTTGGCGTTCCGTCCTTTCCGGATTCGTCGATCTTTCTGTTTGAAGGTATGTTCTCCCTAAGCCGCTTAAATTTTACCTTTTTTTTGTTTTTGTTTATAGTTTTATGTTTCCAGTGTAGCCGTTGTTTTGGTTTTTCGGTCAGTAGAAAATATTTTTCAGTCCTACGAAGTGTTAACTATCGTAATTTGCATTTTGTTTCTGCATTCCAGTTCACTACTTTTAATCATCAACAAGTTTCCAATTGACGAATTGATAATCTGTTCTCTTAATGTGAGGGGCTTATCCAACAACCTTAAGAGGCGAGAAACCTTTCGTTGGCTTAGAATGAAAAAATTTGGAATATTCTTTCTTCAAGAAGTCCACTGCACCAAAGAAAAAGAACGACTGTGGTCATGAGAATGGGGCTTCTCAGCTATTTTTAGTAGTGTTTCTAGCTCAAGTGCAGGGGTATGCATCCTGTTTAACAACAATTTTCAATTCGAAATCAAGAAACAATTTTCTGATCCAGATGGAAGATTTATTTTAGTAGATTTGAAACTTGAAAATAAGACTATAACCTTGGGAAACATTTATGCGCCAAACGATGACAATCCGAATTTTTTTAAAAATGTTCTCAGCCACCTCCTCTCTTTCGAGTGCGAGGACATTATCCTGGGTGGCGATTTTAATCTAGTATTAGACGTCCAAAATGATAAGAAGGGAGGAAGACTGACCACTCACAAAAATTCTTTGAAGGAAGTTCAGAACATAATAAATTCGCTAGACCTTATCGACATTTGGCGGGTCTCCAATCCGGATATCAGAAGATTCACTTGGAGAAGAAGCAAACCCGAAATTCGTTGTCGCTTAGACTTTTTCTTGACGAGTAATAGTCTAAGTTCGGCAATTACAAAAGCTGATATTTTACCAGGGTACAAAACAGACCATTCTTTGATAACGCTCCACCTTGCAAACAATACCAATCCCAGGGGCCCGGGCTTCTGGAAGTTAA